CACATAGTGCATGTATTCTTTAGAAGCAGTCCCAGCTAAAAAGCTATGAGATAGTTTCATCTTTACTTGGCATGTCATGGAGAGCTAAAAATATTATTTCAATGCGGTCAACTTCGGGGCCACATTCGCACATGGACAACCTTACCCTGTCCCTCTCCCTATCCCTCCCAGCCTTATCTTCCGGCTCTCCTCCTATCTCCACTCTCCTCCTCCTCCCCTCATCCTAGCTAGTGTGGGCGGCACTCCTCGGCCCCATGGTGCGCCTCCTACATCGGCTCCTATGGTCGTCGCCTCGTCAACGTCGGCTTCTTCTTCTTGGTGAGTGGCATCGTCAGGCTCATCCCTAATGTGGGGGCACAGGTGGTGGCCCCAACACGTGGTTGTGGGTGGCGGATCCGACCCCAATCAAAGCGGTGTCCCTTGGCACAGGTCGTGGCCTGGGGATCCAGCACCAGCGCCCACGTGTAGGGGCACTGGTGTATTTTCTTTTTCTCTTTGTTTAAATAGGCATCCTATTAGGTGAGCAGTCGAAAGTGAAACGCCAAGGATAACACTGCCGATTACTCAAAATCCGACGACAGTGAAAGCTGCCGTGGGACCGACAATGGATGCAGGTTGTGGGGACACATATTGGCTGGCTCCTGCTTTAAGTGTTGTTATTATATATAGCAAAGTAAGAAATGAAAGGAAATGCTGACCTTCGCTTGCCGTGATTTAAAGTCACCAGTGACCATGGTAATCTTCGCTTCCAACGGTAGTGTTTTCTTCAAATGAATTGGTTAATAATGTCTTGTCAAAATCTAGTCATTGCGGAACTTGCCATATCGTGTGTTGAATTCCTTACATGAACAGTCAAAAAAATTCCTTACATGGCGATGTGGTTGCGATACTTGTAGCAGCAGTTAGCTACAGTGGACTGATGATGCTTCTTTATTTATTTGGAGGATGAAGCCGGAACATTATTATTATTACTGCTTCTCAATACCTAAAAGAGAGTGTATAGCCAACATCCGAATGTGCATCCACACATTTTAATTTTAATTCTGGGCACCTCGTAACCAATCGCGATATCAGATCAAGAGAGATGCTCAACTGAGATCGAGACGAAACGAACTGATGATGAGCTTCTTCTTCTGTGCTAGCTGCTGCTAAACAACAACGACACTGGTAGTGATGCGTAGACATGCATCAACCAACACCCATGTGGCATGTGCCAGTTAAGCCGCTGCGCGCGCGGCCCCAACCCAAGTGGTCCTAGCTGCCGGCCGGCCGGCTTGCATGCATTATATGAAGGGAGGAGGAGGAGGAGGAGCACCCACAAGAACAAATATCCCAACGCCACACAACGAACGAACCGACATCCCGCCGGTATCGAGATTCACCAACTGATCTGATCTACCAATGCATGCAACAAATTAAAAGCGCATTCATAATTTCTTTCATTCATGATTCATATACTCCATGTGGGGCCCACGCGCGGAGCTGATACTGTGGGGGCACACAGACACACTAGGGTCGATCGATGACCGACCGATCGAGATCAACAACTTCCGGCCGAGCGGGCGGGCGGGCGGCGGGCGGCCGGCCGGCCGGGAGTCGTCGGCACATGGCGGCACATGACCACGCCATGAACCCATCGCCATCACCCTCACGACCTCACCTGGCCACCTGCGTCGTGACGATGCCCATGCATGCATGCAAGACCCGATGGCCCCCTCCTCCTCCTCGATCTGCCGGCCCGGTGCGCGCCGTCCCAAGGAAGATCCGGGCGATCTCCGGGCCAGTATTCTATGACCTCAGTCCACATGGCCGCGCAAACAAATGCACTCACTTCCATCATCGCCCCATCATTAACCACTCATGGCCATTGCTAGCAGTTTGTCGCTGCAACCGTCTCTGACCCCTGCCGCAGATTAAACAAATGGGTTGTCATGATTGCCGGTCAACGCGTAACACACAGCCCCTAGCTACCTAGCTAGTAGGTTATTACTTGATTAGTCAACATGCATGGATGTAAAGATTCCTCGGTTTGCATGGCTTAATTTGCATTGGCCAGCCTTTATTATTCTTTTTCTTGTTATGAAAAAAAAATATGATGAAGCACTGCGCATATATCATATATATACTATATTAGTAAGATGTATCGTCGGTTCGACTGTACGTTAATGTGTGCTTTGCTATAGCTAGGGTCACGTTTCTCTATCAGTGCCACATGTTCCCCTTGTTGCCATGTTGCAACGCATCAGAACGTGAAAACGGCCCACGCACCCTGCCCCTTCGAAGTGTCCTTAGCTTGGTTTGTTCTTGTCATGGACCATGCATGATCCCTACGTGTCGTGCCTCGCCCACATTCATCATGATTAGGATACGGATCGGCGCGATGAGAGGAGGAGTGATTATGGCTTACTAATCATGCATGCTGCAGAACAATGTAGACGATGCATGTGGTCCTACACATCATACAGACCCAGAAACTAATCATGGATATATAGATCCATGGATGCCAGGCCAAACAGCCCACGCATGATCCTAACTAACCCTCCCCACCAGAAATAACTACCAACGGCCAGTACCTACCGGCCGGGCCGGGTGGTCTACTGCATACACCCATGCATGCATGCAAGCAGCAGCGTCCTGTGTGCGCCATGCTTGCTTAAATGGCAACCGTCGTGTCCGACCGACGATGTCTGCAGCTAGCTTATGTGTAGTATTACATGTCCATATATGCGTAAGTGCACGCACAGTCGCTACGCCAAAACGTATTTTTAGGGGCGGTTTGACCAGCCGCCCCTACTAAACCGTCTCTACAAATGATGTATTTGTAGGGGCGGTTATTAGACCGCCCTTACAAATCGATTTGTAGAGGCAGCTGGTGTTATCAGCCGCTCCTTAAAAACCGATTTGTAGAGACGGCTGGTAACACCAACCGCCTCTACAAAATCGATTTGTAGGGGCGGCTATAATACCAACCGCCCCTATAATAAATGTTTTGTAGAGGCGGTTCAATCTAGATCCGCGCCTACTGTACATTTTTTCGGAAAAAAAAAATCAAATCCATTGCCGTCATGCCTCGGAACTGCAGAGGCCACCGCCCACGGCCATCGGCGAGCAGGCAAGGGAACGCGCGTCGTGTGCCCTGTTGCCGCCTGAGCTGGCGTAGAGGCACGGGCCCACTGCTGCCAGGACCTCGCCGCCCTAGATCCAGTCGCCGTCGCCTTGGCCGCGCACGAAGGCGCACGAGATTATCTGGGGCAGACTGTCCGCACTAGACCAGACCAGTCTCTGATGACAAATCAGAGAAGGGGCGCACTAGCGAGCCAAGCTTTTACAAATTACAAGACCAGGACGTTAGAGAAGCAGCCGAGCAGAGGAGAGCTTCTGACAATACGACGCTGGCTGAATGCCTGAATCTAATAACACCATCAGCAAAGCAACAAACTCATCGTCACATCATAGGCAATACAATCTGGCACTGTAGTATGGATCTTTACAATTCTTCTACTAGAAACATCAAACAAAACCAGCCATCTGTATGCACTACTGTAAAAGAAGAGAGATTAATTAAAGAGAGACAGAGAGGAAATCAGAAAAGAGAGAAGAAATCTAGCTAGAAACCAAAGCTAAAGGAGGGAAAAGGGTTGAGGGGTGTGACAGCATCAGGCCTCGCTGCAGGCGCTGTGGCTGGACGCGCTGCGCATGGAGGCACGGCCGATGGACTCGTCGATGCGGTCTAGGCGGGGCCTCCATGGCGCCGCCCGCCCGGGCTCATCCTTCTCCTTGGTCGCCGCAGGCACAGGCACAGGCACAACCACAGGTGCCCTCACGGAACCACAGCAAGAACCTGACGAAGAACCACAGTAAATAACCTCACGGAACCACAGTAAAGAACAACAAGAAAGGCGGCACCAAAAAATTCAACCAAATCCTATCCAAACCTCCATGGTTCATCCCCAGAATTTGCACAGGAGAAATTCGACTTGCTACAAATCTATCCCCAAGAAACCATCGCCTGGGATTAATCCAAACTCCGGGAAAAATTCAGATTGTAGACAAGAACGGGTTTTTTCTCCTCAAAAGCGAAAACCGGATCGATCTACGAGCTCGTGCCAAATTGATTTGAATCACTGGAGGGATTAGTTCAGCACGTGTCCTAGCTCATCATGGATGAACTAAAAACTCCGCAAAACACCACAATCCAAAAAGATGAAGCAAGAAAGGGGAGGGAGAAGGACGACGAACCGGGCCTCTCTCAGGAACACTAACCGTCTGTTTGGTTGTGGGATTAGTGGGTTGGAGTGGCTCCAACCCACGTTTTGGGGACGGCTCCAACCCTTGATTTGTTTGGTTGCGAGAATGGGTTCGATCCGTCTTCTGTTTGGTTGGAGGACTGAGATGGGGTCGGATCCATCCCATTTTCTGTTTGGTTGGATGGATTCAAACAGAACCTGCATATGGTCACCTTTGCACTGAAATGGTGAGGTTACCCTCCTCAATTTATGCAACACATAGCAATATTTGTGCTCAACACATAGCAATATTTCATATGCTTGCACCATACATCAAAGATCAGCACACAAAATAATATAACAGGCACATATAAAAGTCTTGGCCATATTACAAATAAAAGTCTTAGGCCATATCCATAGGCACATTACACACTAATATCAAGTCTGATGCTTGCACGATGCATCAAGTTCAAGCCTTACGCAATATATAGCAAGTTCAAGGCTTCCACATAGCAAGACACAAGCTTACTTAGACCACAAATATAAAGTTCTATGTGGTACTAACAAAAAGAACCATCCCATGACTACAACTTACCCTTCTTCGTCTGGGGTAGTTGTCAAGAATGTGTCTTTGCAACCCAATTGAATTTATGTTCAAAAGGCAAGGAGTTGAAAGCTCTAGCTATGTGAGGATGTTGGACCAAGTAGGAATGGTAGAAGGATAAGTGAGTCGAATTGAAACTACCACTCATAGCCATCAAGTTGTCATACAAATCATCCAAGCACATCATTGTCGTGTTTCCCCTCCTTTATCGCCTTGGCTAACTTGGTACTTCCCCATTTAATTGCAACAACCAATGGATCTTGGTCAGTCATGGCCCTCTTCTTGCCCTTGTCCCTCTTCTTAGGATTGGTGGCCTTGGTAGCCGATGAAGTTGCCGCATTGTTGTCTTCATTTGCATTCCTATCACTCTGTACCTCCATCCTCTGCACCTCATTGTCCCAGTCATCTGTACTGTCTTCCTGTGTACCTAGAGGCACACCCGAGTCCTTTGCAAACTTGCCTGTAGCCATGGTACTTCCAAATATTGTGTGCATCTCCTCAAAGTGTTGAATAGGCTTGTTTAGAAAATCAGCATCAGACTTGTGATCCTGCAATATATGTACAATTTTAGCAACTACTATTATGTGACAACTAATAATTCAACAACTATTATTAGATTATTATATGTGAGAACTAATAATTCAGCAAATACCTTAATATGATTGTTGTAGTGCTCATCATCAAGAGTTATAGTGAAGGTATCTTCATCCCAACCAGCAGCACTCAAACCACGAAGGTCACATATTTTACGAAACTTCTTTTGCCATGTCTTAAGGTGATTCTTAACCTGCTCACCACTGCGCACAATGCCAAATTTCTCTTGAAGAGCCTTTGCACAATGTCTTGAATGTGGATGAAGTCTTGGTGCCATTAACCACTAAATTGGCAAGGTATTCGAGCATGTAGGCTGACCAAGTTGAAGTCCAAGTAGCATGTCCACCAGTCCCTGCACTACCCTCTGCTTCCATTCCCCTACAAAATAAACAATGCAATATATGTCCTCAAATAATAATGCCAACAAAGTAGCAAACAAAGTAGCAAACAACGTGGCAATCAAATATCTGTAGAAATATGTCCTCAAATACAATTTCAGCCCTCAAATACAATTATTACATTGTCCAAGAAAAAAAATACAACACATATTACATTGACCGATACTAGTTTCCATGGCTTTGACGATCTGCCCACATTTGGGCAGCCAGGCCTTCCCAAAAAACTAGCATAATGGCATTCTCACTTGCTGTCCCAGCATATGTGGTGTGCTGGGTGTCCTCATCGTTGTCACTTGGTATATTGAATTCATCACTCCCATCTTCAATCACCCAATTATAAATGATGCAGCAAGCAACAACAATATCAACTTGAGTTTCATAAGGAAAAAAAGGAGAGGCATCATCAAGTACTTTGAATCTCTTTTTTAGTGCTCCAAATGCTTGCTCTACTATGATTCTCAATGAGCAGTGTCTACGGTTGAACAATTCCTTCTCATTTTGCACCGGATTCCTCCCCCATTCATTCAAGTGGTATCGTACACCCCGAAAAGGGGGTAAAAATCCTGGTTTGGCTCCATATCCAGCATCAACTAGGTAATATTTACCTAACATATGATGCATAGTTAGATTACATCTCAATGATCCATTAATTTTGATGAACAAATTTATGGACAAGACATAGGTTCTTGTATTACCTTGTGGCACACGAAGGCCACCCTCACGTGTTAAAGCATCACGTAAAACTAGTGCGTCATGTGCTATCCCCTCCCATCCGACCAACACATAGGTGAACTTTTGGTCAAAATCTACGGCTGCCAGTACATTTTGAGTACAATGCTTGTATCTACCACGAAAAGCATGCTGCATTTCCTTTGGAATAGTGGCTCTTATATGTGTACCATCAAGTGCTCCTATACAATCCTACGTGATGTTCAAAGAAGTCAAGATTAGGTCAATTAGGTTTGGCAAAAAATAAACTTAGAATATGACATAAGGTTGAGCTTCACACCTTAAAGTATGGATACCACCTTGGGTCTCCTTCAATTTTAGCTAGAGTGTCCAATGAAGGGGGCCTAATATAATCATCTCGTAGCTCACCAATAGCATGAAGTACTTTGTTAAAATAACGACTGACTGTTTCTCCGGATCTACCAAAATTGGTTGCAATTACTCTATTTGTAACATTGTGCCCCACAGTATGCAAAAACATTGCCACTTGCTCCTCAACACACATATGAACGGTATCTTCAAATAAACCACGATCTCTAAACAACTTACAAAACCTAAAGAAACATGCTTTGTTCATTCTCAGCATGTTTACACAAGTTGTATCATCCTTCCAGATTTTGTCATTGAGGTATTCCATTCTCTTCCTATCCCTTTTATATATTGGTGCATAAGTAATCCCTTCCCTTCTTGCAACTCATTTTCTTTTCCTAGACCGAACAACAATTGCCATGACACACAACAACCAATGTGCAGCAGCAGCAAAAACAAATGCCTTGAGCCTGTTATTCATCTACATACAGCAGCACAATCAAGCACAGTAGCACAATCAATATAGATTAGGTAGGTAAAAAGCAAATATTTAGAAGCAGACCCCATCCAATTCCATATAAGAGGTAACATGGTCTTAAAATTCATGTAGTTTGGTTCAAAGTTACTTACAATTTAAGTCTAAGCACAATATACTACTGAAAGACCATCCATAGTTTGTTTCTATTCATAGGAAAAGGGTGCTCCTAACCATCTAGGCGTTGTACGCAAACCAGTACTATGAAATCGCTCATCAATCGCATCAATGAAGTCGCTATGAAATCGATATGAAAAAGTAACAACAGAATAAGACTAAACCAGTACTCACCTGCAGGGATCCGAGGCAGAGGGCCGACCTGGCGCTTGTCCGGGGCAGATGGCGGGGCGACGCAGAGGGCGGCGCGACCCTGGCGGAGATGCGGAGCCGGTCCGGGGCAGAGGCCAGCGGGCGGGTGGCTCCTCGGGCGGACCTGGAGGCGGGTGGGGCGGCTCCTCGGGGGCGGCGGACCAGGCAGGGCCGGCGCGGCGGACCAGGCGGGGCCGGCGCGATGGCTAGGCCGGCGCTGCGCGACCCTGGCGGAGATGCGGGGCTCGGCGCTGGGCGACGGCGGTCTGATGGAGCGGTCGAGTGGAGGGGAGGTGAAGGGATAAGGTTTGGGGGAGGTGAAGGGATAAGGTTTGGGGTTACTGCAGCGCACGTGAATTTCTCAACCCGAGCGGTGCGGCTCCATTCACCAGATTTCGACGGAGCAACCGAACCCGCATATTGGAGGAATATTCTCCTGGGTCGAACCTAACCCATCCCAAACCTCCATCCAAACAACCAGAAAATGGGTCGAACCCAATCGGGTTGGCTTCGACACTCCAACCAAACAGACGGTAAAGGGCGGAGCTGGGAAAAGGAAGGGGTGGGTGCATGTGGTGATAAGGGCGCTGGGAAAAGGAAGGGGTGGGTGCGTGTGGCCGCACGCCATGCGACAGCGGATTCGCCAAAACCAGGGGCGCGGCGCCGGTTGTTTTCCATACCACGCACGTGAAACGAGATGAGGTGGGACCGGTGCAGCAGTTTCGGTCAGCAAGCAGCAGGTGCGAAGCGACGGGGCCGGCGAATTTTCAATTCGCGCGCGCGTGCTCGGTCTCAGAGGGAAGGCGGCAGGGCCCAGTGGTTGCGGTCGCGCGAAAACAGGGGGCGGCCGGTGATTGAGCCGTCCCTACAAATCATAACATTGGGGGTGGCTGGTGAGTGACCCGCCCCTACAAATCATACCCATTTGTAGGGACGGCTCGTATCACCAGCCGCCCCTGCTGTTCCATTTGTAGGGGCGGCTAGTCTCTAGGCTCCCAAACATGTTACTGTAGGGGCGGCTCCATCACCAGCCGTCACTACAAAAAATTTATCCCGTTGCTAAAAATCATTTTTCACGTAGTGAGTTAATATAAGATATATTTAACTCTGTGATATATGTATTTACCGCGTGTTCAGTTCTACCCCAAAATCCCAAAAAATGCTACAGTACCTGTCACATCGAATGTTTGCGGCATATGTATGGAGCATTAAATATAGACGAAAAAAAACTAATTGCACAGTTTGGTGGGAAATTACGAGACGAACGTTTTGAGCCTAATTAGTCTATGTTTGAACACTAATTGTCAAATAAAAACGAACGTGCTATAGTAACCACAAATTCCAAATTCCTAGAACTAAACACGCTTTTACTTTCCTCTGCGGTATATACAGTCACTGGTCTCGATCAGCACCACGTACACACACTAGTCACAGACTTATGCTCAGTGATGCTTACACTGTTTTTGTTTTTTTAGCAATCGAGAGCAGGTCGTTTTTTGTGCTGCGGATTATCGATGGTGACATTCAAAGAGATGGATATTTATAGATATAGATATATTTATACATGATGCTAATATATACTATTCATCAATTTGGATCCACTACTACATGAATGGTTTCTAGAGGCGGCTGATGAGGCTTTATAGAGGCGGCTCGACCAGCCGCCCCTACCATACCGCCTCTACAAATCATGTATTTATAGGGGCGGTTCCTAAACCGCCCTTACAAATTGATTTGTAGAGGCGGTTGGTGTTATCAGCCGCCCCTATAAATCGATTTGTGTGCCAGCCGCCCCTACAACATCGATTTATAGGGGCGGCTGTAGTACTAGCCGCCCCTATAATACATGTTTGTATGGGCGGTTCAGTCTAGAAACGCTCCTACAGTACATTTTTCCACAAAAAAAAATTAAATTTATAATTTAAATTCCACCCAAACATATATATATATATATATATATATATATATATATAAAATTCAAATCTAACCAGAACATATATAATTCAAATATCACCACAAGCACAAGAGCATTATATAAACTACTATTACAAGTTCAATTCACAAGAATATATACAATCCATCATTAAATAGACATAGGTACCTGAGGCTAATGAAAAATACACTCCGTCCTTCAGCACCTCGATGCAGATTGTTTCCACACCCAGGTTTCGATTGATTCGCCTAGGCGTCTGGAAGGGGGTGGAGCGCCGCACCTCGCCTTACCGCCTTAAAAACTATGAGTTTCGCACATGACATCATTCATATCAGCTTAGGATGAACATTTGATTTCTTAAACTAAATTCTTCCGGGGCACACTAAGCAGCTGTGCTATACTGAAACTACAATAAACAAAATGTAAACCAGCGCAAGCCTTGTCTAACTCTAGGAATACCTGGTTGATGCTGCCATGAATGGAAGCTCGCTGTAGTAGATACTTATAGAAACTGCATGTACTACAGCAGCAGATGATAATCTCACCTGTAGTAGATACTTCCTATAAGAATTAGGAGACGACGTCTTGGGAGAAGGCAAGGATCCTGATGCTTAAATCTGCAAGGCCCTACTATTCCCCATCTCCCATCCCTAATTAGGAGACTGACAACAATGTGAACACCAAACCTGAAAAAGGACGACAAAAGTCATGGAAACCAATCTGAAAAGGATGACAAAAGATATAAGCTTCGGTAACCTACTAGCCATATTGGTCCTCCAGAAATGTACGGGCAACGTAAATAAGAGAATACTAGCTAAAAATAAAAATGAAGTCAATAGAGTGAAACATTGATATAGTTTGCCAAACAAAAAGGTTTTTATCAAAATAGAGACCATATTCGCCAGGCAACCAAAATCCATCATATGGATGCTCTTCAAGTAGTAAGCAGCAACTATGAACTTCGACAGAATCAGAAAAGAGTTTCCTAAATGAAAGGGGAAAAATATGAATATGTGTTATTATCTCCCGTGACAGTTGTACACATAACTGAGCAAATGGATGTG